TGATGATGATGATGATGATGATGATGATGATGATGATGATGATGATGATGATGGTGATGATGATGATGATTTTCCTTAAGCCAAGTGACGACTAAATTGGTGCCATGCTTTATTTTATTTCATATCAAACATTTATCGTCCTGATCTCTTTCTCCTTAATTTTTGTGTGTCTGTTACTCTCTTGTAACACTTCTAATCTTCATCACTTGTACGACCTTTTTTTATGTCTTGCAAGTGCGTAAAACTTACTAAGAGTAAAGAAAAACCCAAACCCTAAAGAGTTATTTGTTAACTTCTTGTTACCAGACAGCCAGAGATGCCTCCCTCCTCCTGTCTTCACTGTAGGGGTGGGGATGTAAAATATTTACCTTAGGTAGCGATCGAGAGGTGCTTTTACCAAATCGCACAACGTTGCCTTGTGATTTTCTCAAAAGAACTGCACTTCCAAATGCGGTCATGTAAGAACTATCACGAAGACTCATTGCTCTTTCTGTGCGAGATTCATTGCCATTTTCTTCGTGTTCATTTATTTGTTTCAGAGATGCTGTGATCTTCACGGATGGATCAGTCAACAGAGGAGTCAAATCGGGCTGGGCCTTCAGTGTCAGAGTTGATGGGGTAGTAATGAAAAAGCTAAGTGGACATCAAGTATGTGTATGGAGATAAAAGCCATACGTGAGGCTCTACACTGGATCAAGAACACAAGCCATCAGCGAGCAGTAATCATTACTGACTCTATGAGCACACTGCAGAAGGTACAGAAAGGGATGCTGTATGCGAAATGGAAGGCTACGATCACGGAGAGCAGCCTGGAAAGAGTGGCCTGGATCTTCTGCCCAGGCCACGCGGGGGTAACAGGCAACGAGAGAGCAGACAAGCTGGCAGGAGAAGCAAATTTTGAGGGAATTTGACACTGGACCCACCAACCGTCCTAACCGCTGTAAGGAAAAATTTGAGGAAGAATAGGGCGGATAGCGGTCCCCACACTCTAGGATTACTAGGAAGATTGCAGGAGATCCAAAGGGGAGAAGTGAAACACAGCCACCTGTGCGGACCAGTCCGACGGATCTCCAACCAGATTATGATGGAGACTAGAAGCAGACAGACTCTGGGATGGATCCTGAAGAGGGGAGGAGAGCAGAGATGGACCTGTTCCGACTGCGGTGACCACAACACAGTGGACAAGTAGGTCAACTAAGAAGTGGACGGTGCAAGACCGTGCCCAATCACACGAAGTTCAAACTTGCAAGCGAATGATTATTTTTTCTGAAGTCCACCTAAGCCTGTAAAAATAATTATACTTATAACTTTTTTGAAATGCGCATTTATTTGCATTGTCTCGGAGCTTTATGACAGGACCGTCAGCGAATCTACAAAGCGCATAGATAGTAAAACAAAGTGGAAAGAGCAACAGGGCAAAACTAGAATGGGGAAGGGATGTCGGACATTAGGAAGGAGAGTGGCAAAAGAACTTCTGAGGGATAGTTAAGGTGTAGGAATAAAAGCCCAATTCTTAGAAAAGCCCTCCTGGAAGCTAACGTACGGGTAGCGATGAAAGCCATTATAAGGGCTGGCAAAGGGCCGGGATAAAAGCTCGTCTGAGGGAGAGCGGAAAGGAAGGGGAAAAGAACCCTGTAAGGGCTAACGAAGGTCGTGCCCCCCCCTCAAACTCTTTGAGGGTTGACGAAGGTACTTAGGAATTAAGGGGGCCTCCCGGCCAGAGAAGAGGCAGGGGCAAAAGCAAAAATCCCTCTGAGGATTTCGGTTAGGGCTAGGCGGTCTAAGAAAACCTAGGGTAAACGACTATCTCAGGACAGTCGAAAGGACGACTGTAAGAACTATTCTGAACAGTAGCGATGTGGAAGTGCTAAAGGCCACTCTGAGGGCAAGTGAAGATGGCGAGGTCAAAAGCCCTTGTAGGGCCTAGAGGTTAGCTAAGGGTTTGTATTTGTGTGTGTGTATGTGGGTGGGGGGTATGTGTCAAAAGCCCTTTTTGGGGCTAGCTCGACAGATGACGTGGTGAAAAAGGGGGTGGGGGTCGCGGTGATAGGACAAAAGCCCGTCTGAGATGGAAGGTGTGTGCAAACGCTCGAAGGGGCCTATGTGGGCCATCGAGTACGGACCTTGACCAGAGACTCCCTGGCCTTGACAAAAGCACTTCTGATTAGTAATCATGGTGTTCAAAACCTTGCTAAATAAGCAACTATAGAACTTCTTTATAAAACCTTACGTATTTATAGCAAATGCACAGACTAGATGATATATTATTTTCAGGTTTGGTTTTATATTGCATTTAATACGAACACTTATGAACACTGAAAAGGGTTGAGAAAGAGACCTGTCTACACCTTCCACACCCTAGCTGGGTGATTTTTACCAGCTCGAAGTAGAACATAGGCCTACCGGTACTAACAGTTGCGGTGGAAATTGTAGGCCTACGTTGGAGCTGGTGCTTCTTAAACCCAAGGATACAGCATAGACTAAGACGATTTTTAAGTTATAGTATTCCTGTATATATAAAATGAATACAGCTCAGGATACACCACTTTAATTTTTTTTAAAATTAGTAACAGTTTCTCACAATCAGAAAGCATGAATATTATGCCCCCGATAACTGTTACTACCCTCGAAGCATTAAAAAATGCGAAGTAAATATTTTCTGAAAAATCCGCTGCATAATCAGCATCTACCTCTTCTTCACAAGTCAACATCCTTCTTCTTCCTCTCCTTCTCTCCCCTCCCCCCCTCCCTACTCCTTTTCTCATGTTTCCTCCTCATTCTGGCTGGACCCGAAATCTCTGTCCAGAGCGACTGCCCGATTTGTTCTCGTTCTTTTTTGCTGTTTTTACCAGTTCATGTTTTATAGATCACTTGTTCAAGATGGCGGTCTCGTAGTTACCCGTGTAAACAAAATGTTCTCTGAGACAGACAGAAAAGAAAATATAGACTAGTTTGAAGATCACTGAAAGAACAAAAAAAGGTTCGATGTGTCGAAACTTTCTGCAGAGGATTGTCTGTCGATAAACATCAGTTGTGTTGAAATATTAAGGTAGGCTTCTTTGAATGCTTTCGGTGCAAACAAAGCTCTCGTAGTGCTCTACTCTTCTGAGATCACAAGACTCGAGATTTTACAAGAACAAGAAATGATCGCACCGAGTACCAGTAATGAGTTCGTCAGTTCGGGGTCCAAAAACTGACCTCTGACCTGTTTCAAAACTAAAAACGAAATGTGATGTGCTCATGCTTTTGACACTTTATACTCTATTGTCCACGTTACTTTTAGATTGACATTAACTTTCATTAAGGCCTGGACTTGGACAAAAGATCATCAGGGGGGAGGGGCATGATAAATTTTAATGGCTTAGGCATGACGAAGAGGATTCATTTAACTTTAAGTTTTACCGGAAAATAATAACATGAGTGCTGGCAGTAAGTCAAAGAGCTTTTGCTGAAGGAAATGAATCTTATTTTCTAGATCTATCTGATTATATTTATCTTTTTAAAATTAAGATCATCCATGTCTCTCTATTTTGGGCCGATTTTATAGTCTACCGTGCATTATGAACCTATGAGATTCCTGGAGGAATTAGCATTAATTCCCCTTTAGAAATGTAAGCCTGGGATATGGCTGAGTGCCATTTATGACAGAGATTGTAAAACAACCCCCAGGGCCTTGACAGACGAGCTACTATAATTGTCGCGCAGTAAATTCTGCTCAGAAAGTGTCGCTTACTTTTGTGTGGCAGCCACACCGGGCAACGTTTAACTCTAATGCTCAGTTCAACATGGACGATCGGAGAGTCAGGCTGGCTTTGGTCATGGTGATGAGAAGAATCTTTAAAAAAAGAAAGCAGCAAAGAATGGGTTCATCCCAGTAATTGTTTCTCACAGATTACTAAGAGGACAGTTTTACACCTTTTATGAAAAACTTCAAGAAGATGAGTCCAAATTCTTCAATTACTTTCGTTAGCCCAAAGCAACATTTGAAGAATTGACAACGATATTGACACCAAATGTTCAATTATAGAATTATTTTTTAAAAATTTCTTTTTATATTCCTCACTTGTGTTGTCCCAAATGCTGTTTCTGCTCTTTATTTCTAAAATCAAATGCTCTGTTTCGTGATAAAAAGATGTTTGCACTGGGAATATTGTCGTGTTGAATGAGAAGCGAGAAAAAACACAACTATTGTAGGAATACACCGGCAGTAATTATGCATCTCGTGTGCTTCACTAAAACGCTGCGCATTGCAGCGTAGCTGAATGTGGGCGACTCACGTCTGCTATACCTGGACTGAAAATAATGCCTGTGGCTTGTGTGACTGCTCCTATTGTCTACAGTGTATCACCAGACTGTGCAGTAATTCCTGCTGTGGTTTTTTTGTTTTGTTTTTGTTTTTGTTTTTTTTGGTAAGTGTTTTACGGCGCCCGCAGCAGCATACGGTCATACGAGCACGCGGGACACATTAAACATTTTCAGTTGGTAGGAAATTTTGAATTTTGCAAGGGTGGCGACCGAAGCCTACTTATATCGATTTTAGACCACCAAGGGATCTTTAACGTGCGCAACTAGTACACAGGACCTCCGAGATTTTTCGCCCTTGTCTGAGAAGGCTAGGTGTAGATCTTTCCTATCAGAAGATCAGGGGTGTGGCTGAAAGACAGCAGTAAGAAGGAACCAAGGAGTAGCAGTAGAAAGGTTGCAGAAAGATTCAGGAGCCCAAAGGAGGGGGCAAAGGAGGTACCTTTAAATGAGAGGTGAACACCTTAACCTCCAAGCCATGAGAGCCCCCTGCTGTGTGTTTTACATCTTGTCTGTCAATGCCCCTAGAGATATTTTTTGTCTAGTCCTACCATTAACTTCCTCTTAAAATAGTAGTGGAACTTCCACGATGGAAGTCCTTATTACAAGAATTTTTCCTTACCGAAAAGCCTATTTTCAGGAGAAACTATTTAGAACTAATTTAACAGCAGAACATTTTGTTTACTTTTTAATCTTATACTAAAAAAAGTAAAAGGTTGTAATGAACGTACATATATTAATTTTTATTAATTAAGATGTGCACAGATAGGCTATGTTACAATGTCTCCCTAATTTTTGCTACATTGTTGAATTGTCATCAGTAAAAATAGAATGCATTTTTTTTGCTACAGGTAATAGCGGAGACTAATCTTCGTAACAGAGCACATCATGCACTCAGAGGTTGATTAAAAATCAAGTGACCCCAGGGCATTGAAGAATTCTAGTGTGTATACACTTTTTCTCAAACCTCTGCTGGATAATCTTCCAATGTTTGATTGAAGTGACTTAGTTATACTGATAAAAAACTGAAAACCTATCGATAGCAGCTGGCTTTGGAGTGGTATTGAGCTCTATATTACAGGTTCAAGCAAAACAAAAATATCTGGCAAAAATGTTGTGTCAATTTTTGTTTTGTTTTGTTTATAGAATGGTTCAACTTTAAAAAATTTATTCGTGTTATAATTTACAGGCCTCTGCTATGATGGCGGGGCGTACAGAGTTTTTTGTCAAGATGAATAGGCTGATTCTGCCTGAACTTGAGAGTCAGTCTGCACCTGTGAGATTTCGACCTGTGTTTTATGACCCTCACCTTGTGGAAGAAAGACAGCTTGATGTGGAAGATGAGAGTGATCAGTCAGATGTAGAGACAGAACAAGGGAAAGGAAAACATCCTTTACCTCATTTCTTCAAGGTGATGCTTCAAAAGAACACTACCATTGCTTCACTCTAGGTAGTATTAGGATGTCTCAAATTTGTTCATTTCATCTAAAGAGAAGACATGTGAATGATGGATATTTCAAGATGTTGTTTCTGAATAAACAAATCAGAGGTTATAATTTTATGGTCTGGTTTTGCTTCCTTTCACGCCAATAATTTATTCCTTGACTATCTTAGAGGGTTAGGCTACTGATTAATTGTTGTCATTTCAGGGTGGTGGAGAACCATGAGCAGCATCACCTGGCTTGTGATCAGTACTATTTAGTATACATTGATATCTATCAGTATAGAATAGAAACAAAATTTATTAACAAACAAGGAGTTCTAAACTTCTTATAAATGAGTTGTTTTTAAATGGATTGCTCAAAAAGTATATCTATGCAGCATATTGTAAATCTTTTGATTGTTTTGACTGAAGATTGTGGATGTAGCATCAGTAAAACTGTGCACTTGTTGCTGGACCGATGAAAATGAACAGTTTGAGTACAACTGTTATTATTATATGTATGTTTTGAATGCACATAAACAGCTTTAGAAATATGCTCCACATTATTCTGTAAACTTCTCTTTTAGGACCCCCTGGCTGGACCTTCTGCTGATTTGACTAAAGAAGACACAAAACAGGATGAAGTGAGTACACCTTTGAAACTCATATTTTCTGTGTGCTTTTCTCCTTCTCTGTTCACTCTGTTCCCACTCAAGATACCCCAGTGTTTACTTTTGTAGTTTCTCGTACCGTTCAGACTATACGGTCCCCCCATCAGGGCAGTGCCCCTGACTGAAGTTGTCTTTAGGCCATTCTCAAAGGGGGGATATTAACATGTTCTTATGCACAGTAGAATTGTAAATGGGCTGATTTACCAATTTCACGCTCATACTGTGCCGAAACAACATATGGGGAACTGCTGCTTTTTCTTTCCTCATCCTTACTATCGTCATTTTTCTTCTACTTCTTTTGTATAATTCTTACTCTCTTGTGAACTGCTATTTCCGGGGTGCCTTGATAGTTGAAGCAGACTTTGTGCTGTTGAGGCTAGAGAGGTGAGCAAAGTAAGCCTGATTCCCCGTTCCCCGTTTGGACTTTTCTGTTGATATCCACTCCTTGGCACTCATATGACCTATGCATTTGCAAGTGTCGTAAAACCTTACTAAAACAAAACAACTGACAATATGAATTTGCCATTTGCGAAGGTACTCTAACAGGAGTGTCTTAAGAGTTTGCATCATTTCACTTTGATGATCTGGTCGAACTATTGCCTGACAGCGAGATTCTGTCAAAGGCACATTGCAAGGAAGGGGAGCGACTTGAGTGCTCACCAGTTGTTAATGTTTTATTTACCAAGGAACTGAAATTGACAGTACTTATCATAAGAATGTAAAAAGTGATGCTTCGATTTTTAGATACAATAAGTCTAATAAACATGATCAGTGAAAGGTTCTTGAAAACGTAAACTTCAGTTGTACATTTCTTGTTCTTTATGTATATTATTAAAATAGCTATCCTGATGATAATTACGTGGATGTTTAAAATCTGGCATATTCTTCTTGTATTTTTAACTTTTCTTCAGGTTTTGACTGATATTGATTTCTGCTTTCTTCAGCCTTCTTTTATCCACCTTCTTTAACACTTTGCCCACATGGGACACCAATCAACGAAGGTAGAAGCCGTCCCTTTTTCCCATGGGACGCAAATCGGCGACAGTGTGATATAGCAACTAAAACATTATTATAGCAATGATCTCTTTTTTGACATGCACACTTATTAAAGTTAAATTTCCCTTCTGGATGGTTTGTGTGGCCTTTGAGGTCCAAAATCAGTTTATATACAACAATTGGAGTAATTCTTTTTTTAAATGTCGAGTAAACCTAGCATGAGTGCTGCTTTACTCTTATGCCATGATGAGAATCCGGGTGATGAATGAGGTAGATCTAATGTTTTCAGTTCTGATTCTAATTCCATTTTTGGTGAACATTCGATCATCATTTTTAATTTTCTCAGTACACTGAAATTTTAATAATGGTTGGGGTATTTTGCCGAAATACAGGTGTATTACTGATGTAGTTATTCTGCATCCTGGTCCGTGAGGATAAGTGTTGTGCACTCTGCGTACTGCATGGGTGGAAAGTGTTAAGTAAGAAACAGAAATCCATTCCCTCTCGTGAGGAGGGGGTGGGTGGGTGGAGGGGGGGGATTTCTTAATTGGGACCCTGTACATTTCTTGGTATGTTCCAGTTCTAGTTAGTAATCTCTTAGTCAGGTTGCTTTTGCAGGGTCTGACACCTGTTAGAGATAGATGTCTTTGATTCTTCTCTCCTGGTTTCATCTTTGAGAGCATGGTGTTAAACACTGGCATTTAAATTGAGATCCCAGATCGGTATTGCTTCAGTTTCAGTCTACTGTACTGTTGGAAAGTGATTGCATGTCAGAGGGAATGTCTGTCCCCGGTATTTTAAAAACTTGTCTCTAATAATGTCTTTGCTCTTTTGAGCTACTTTGGACCAGATCAAAACTACACCATAAGTATGTGCTGCGTATCATCTCCTCCGTGTTGTGAGACCAGCAACAACTTCCCTGTGGCACGCCTCTTCTTCTCATGATGGCATGTTTTTTTTCTCCTCTGTTCAGTAGTCATCTATAATGACTAACCAGTTTCAAACATGCTGTTATAGCAGTGGTTTTTCTTGACAACCATTGCTTAAATTTCGAGGAAAATGATATCCTGACTCTCAACTTGAATGGTTCTCAAATCAAGATGCAACGGTTACATTGGAGTCAGGAGCCCATTGTTTAAAAAAAAATAAATGTGTCACTACCCGGCGGAATCAGGCGCTCATCAGTTTTTAGACATGTAGAGTTTTTGGTACCATCTTCATCATCATTGCCTTTCTCACCTTGCACCAGGGTATAGGCCACGGACAAACACCTTCCACCTTTCTCTATCCTGGGCTAGCCTCTTGATGTTATTCCATGTCTTCCCACTTTTCTGTACATCAATTTCTGTGATTCTTCTCCAGGTTCCACGCGGTCTTCCCCTTGATCTCTTACCCTGTGGGTTCCAATCCAAAAGTTTCTTTGTTATGTAGCTGCCTGACTTCCTGAGAGTATGTCCTATCCGTCGCCACTGCCTTCTTCCTACCTCATCTCTGACTGGGATCTGTCTTGTTTTCCTTAACACTTCCACATTAGTGACCTTGTCTGTCCATCTGATCCTCAGTAACTTTCTTAGACACCTGTTCAAGAAAGCCTAGATCCTCTTTATGCAAGTCTGTGATGCGTTCCATGTCTCACATCCATACAACAGGACCGACTTCACATTTGAATTAAAAATCTTCAGCTTTGTCCGAAGTGAGATATCTCTGGTCTTCCAAATCTTATCCAAAGATATGAAAGTAGCCTATGCTTTTCCAATGCGGGACTTTATTTCAGCACCCATTCCTCCATCTCTGCCAATTATACTCCCAAGATAGCAGAAGGATTCAACGTTTTCTAGTGCCTTTCCTTCTATTGTGACCTGCTCCTTTCATTGTGCATCTGTCCTTAGGACCTTTGACCTTCAGGGGTGGATCCTCAATCCGACAGACTCTGATATGCTGTTTAAAACTGAAATCTTTGCTTGCATCTGTTCCTGGGTGAGCGACAGAAGCGCCAAGTCGTCTGCAAAATCCAGATCGTCCAACTGTGTCCATGGTGTCCACTGTATACCCTTTCTGTGTCCTCTGGTGGTTTCCTTCATCAGCCAGTCGACTGCCAATACAAAGAGGAACGGTGATAGTAAACATCCCTTTCTCACACCAGTCTTGATGTCAAAGCTGTCAATGAGCTGGCCATCATGTACACCCTGCAACTTGTCTCTCCGTACATACTCTTGATGAGATTCACCAACTTCTGTGGCATTCCGTGGTGTCTCATTATCTTCCATAGTGTTACTCGGTCTATACTGTCAAAGGCCTTCTCATAGTCAAGGAAGTTGATGATCAGCTGGGAGTTCCACTCCAGGGACTGTTCCACAATCCACAATAATACTCAGCGTAGCAATCTGGTCAGTGGTTTAGTGATTTTTCCGGAAACCAGCCTGTTCATCCCATAGTCTTGGATCCGTTGCTGTCTTGATTCTCTCCAGAATGATTCTGTTAGTATCATCTTAAAGCTTGTTTATTTGTCTTGCTTAAGATGAAAAAAAAACCCAACTAATGTATCTTGAATAGAAGTCGAGATGTTTGCGATTAAAAGAGGTAGATTTTAGAGGTAAAACACGCACCAATATGACCCAGTGCAGTTGCGAGCACCATAAAACACTTACCAAAAAAAAAAGGGTGAAAAAGAGCTAAAACAAAAGAGAAAATGACCTCCCAAATTTGGTGATTTCCAAAGCTTGAGATCGAGAGTCTTTGGAAACAGTAAATTTACTTTTATTTGTGCCTTTAACCAACGTTTTTCGGTAAAATACACACAGAAATTTGTTTTAAAATGAACATCCAAGGAGTGGATCCAAAAAACAAAACAAAAAATCAACAAAAATGTCCAAACGAATGGAAAAATGCCTATTTCTTTGATTTCATTATTTTGACAAGTGCCTGAATTCACCACGGTGCCTCACAAATGTACTGCTGATCTGCATGTGTGACAAATCTATATATCATTATAATACTTATAAAGAATAGTTTTGAAGTGCAAGGCATGAACGGATTCTTAAAAGAAGTCTCTTCTTAACAGCTGTCTTAGAAAAGTAAGTTACATACTACTCACACTATAAAAAAAAAAAAATCCTGTCTTTATAATACTTCCTGTTCATTGATCTGCAGATATCTAGATTTTCGTGCAAATTCTTTGGAAGTTTTTCCAATACTGAAAAAAAGAGCCCAGGTATTTTAAAGTTTTAAACAGGCTTTTGCTTGACCTTTTTATCAACACGAATAAAAATCATGAATACATTCAGAACACGTTTCAGGTTCTTTTTCCCAGTGGTGGAACATATATGAGAATCACTCCCCCCCCCCTTTCCTTCCAAAATATTAGAAAACATGGAGAAAATAGGTCTAGTGTGCCTGTGAGGGTGACAATAAGTTTTGTAGCTCGAAACGTATCACAGCTGCTGTGCCTCCATAATCACTGAGGATGTAGTTTTGATGTTTGCAAAATATTGTTTGCCTGATTGTGAATTGTTTTCTCTCTTTTTTTTATGTAGACTGACACAAATTTGAAATTGGGCCGAAACATGCGGGCAAGCAGTGGACTGATCGGTGCCACAAGACAAAAGGTGAGAAAAATAAGCAAATTGTAATAAGGTATTCACAAAGTTTTATTAGTAACTTAACTTTTAGTGTATGGAAGGTTATTCCGTATAATTTGCACGCAGCCAATTTTGTCTACCAATTTTTACTCATCATAATTTTCCTGTTAAATCTGTTTGCATAGGATGAATGCCAAACGGAACAGAACTGAATGCTCCATGCAATAAATGTAAAGTCTGATCATTGATGATTTAGATTAACTGGGGTTTTGTTGACTTTTCTTATGACTATTAACTTTAACAACCAAGGGATGGGTGGTAAAGTTTGTTTTTTACTTTCCTCTTGCAAAAGGTAGTCAGTTTTGCAGTGACTGGCTGTATTCTGTATCTCAGTAGCCTATTTTTTTTCTTTCAAGGTGTCTGTGATCGTCTGAAAATCTCACAACACAGTATTTAATTAAACTTATAGTTTTGTAGTTTTTGAAAATTGGAGGTACACCCCTCCCCCGCCAACATCCTCTTAGACACCTTGTAACTACTGAAGCTGTCTGGTGTCGTATTTAGATGGTAATTGCTTTCATCCTTTTGCCTTTAGGACATTCACGAGTTAATGAACACACGGAGACAACTACTGCAGCAGCAAAAGGAGCAAATAGAGCTGGTGAGTGAAGAGGAGAACTCTGAGCAAGCTGCGTCCATTCTGGTGAACAACCTCCTCCTTAAAGGCTTCCATATCTCTGCTCCGAGTGACTCGTCGCTACCTTCACCATTCCGTCTTCCTCAAAAGAATGAGGTGTCCAGCGAAGAAGAACTTCAGGCATCAGCAGAGAGGCAAAAGCTGATAGGAGCTTTTCACAGGGAACTTGTTCGTGTCCATGCCAAAGATACGTCAGATGGGTAAAAGGTTTAGAAAGTTGCTGAGAGTAATTTCGCCTCGTAATTTTCCTTTTCACTTTACAAGAAAATTCCTCAAACTTGAAAACTATATATTTTAAAATTTGTAGACATGAAACTTGCATAATAATCTCTGACGTACTATTTTTCATTTAAACTAGATTGAATAACTTCATAGATATATTTCAAGCACAGAGAGACATTATCAATATATGTATCTTAAAAAAGAGGTTACCGTAACATAAATGTTTTAAATTTTCAAATCATTATGTAAAGGTTAAAAAGGAAAGAAAAATGCTACTTTTTTAATCTGGTGTAAATTTTGGTTACAGTGGTATGCATATCTGAAATAATTCAAAAATAACATTGTGTCACAAAATACATATAATACTGCTTAGCACATCTGCAAATAAGTTTGGACATTAAAAAAACCCAACCATTGCTGGTCATCGCAGTAGTGCAATTGTTGAGCTATGTTCATCCTCGTTTGCTCAAGGACACACCTCGGTGGCCTCCTACCGTACTTAATAGTCATCATCATCAACATTGCTTGACATTATTTTCGAGCCTTCATCGCATTAATCACTAGGCCAATATATATATGCCTTGCTTTATTTCCTTTTTCAACAAAATTTTTCGTGACAATTCTTAAGATTATATTTATGTCAATTCAGAATTTCCTGACCTAGTGAAGGTTTCATTCAGTGATGAATGAATGTTTTTTTATTTGAACGAAACGAGAGGAGCGAAGAACTGAAGACTGCAGGAAATTTTTTAATTGATGTGACTGAAATTTTGTTGTAGGATTTAGATCATTAAGGCTGCCTTGAATCTACCTGTCAGCTCCAACCTGGGTTTAGTTGGATACACCATCCCAGAAGATCTTCTCCTTAGCTTTTCCAGTAAATGGGAATTGCTTTTTGAACCTTTCCGCAATAAAACATTCTGTCTCTTGCCATTCTGCCTGCCTGAGTTGTTTTGATGCCAAGCCAGGTTTTGTATGTCTTGTTCCCATCCTCTGTTAGGTCTCCTCTTCCTCTCTTTGCCTCCAGAATATGATTTTCGAGTGAATCAAGACTGAGGTACTCGATAAAATAACTTCCTGGCTCGGAAAACTAACTCACCAATTCTGTGTGAAAAAGCAAAGGACCTAACCAGCACACCATGAATGCTGGTTGAATATATCTTTACTTGTATTTGTGTGGATAGATTAAATTGATGCAGTAGAAGCCATATTATAATGTGATCTGCAAGGTCATAAATGTCTAACATGTTGCAAAAACTTCATACACTGGAGTCCAAAATACCTGACTAGGACATATATTTTTAGCTTCAACCATTTGACTTGATATCACTTTTTGGCCTTATTAATCCAAGCATATTAAAGTGAGGCTAAAACTCAATTAATGTTTATGGTTTTGAGGCATGCTTTGAAAATTGACAATAATATGTGCTCTGGATACCATTGTTAGAACTTTTATTATCCTCTTATCTGAAGGTAGGGTTTACTAAACATTTTCTTTGATATTTTATTTTTTTTTAAAATTTACTGCCATTCCATTTTTTCTTTATACTTAGTAGACTGAGAAAATAGGAAGAGTTCAAATAGGAATAATAGAAATTTCTTAAACCATATGACCCAACGGGTCCCTTTTAAAGACTTGTCCTGTCTTTTGAATTTGACCATTATTTTACATTGATATCTGAAGTAAAGCAGTTGTTAGTTTTTTTCAATGTTGTTGTTATTGATTATTTATTTATTTCTGGAGTTCTCAGTTCAATAGTCTCTATTGATGGTTCCCCTTACCCATTTAGCTATGTTATACCTGGAATCAAAGAGAGACTTGAGCATTACATGTGTAAGGGAAAGGGTGGAAAGAGGATTGATACATTCTTCTTTGAGCATATTTACCTGGTGTTGTGAACAGGGCCAAAATTGTTTACCAACAGCTTTGAACAGAGTTTTTAGACACGTTTTATTTGTGACACCTCAATGCATTTTGTTCTTTTTGGGTATATATACACAAACATGTATGTACACTTGACTTTTGTCATGAAATGTTATAAATTAATGAGAGGTCTTTCCACGCTCAGATGTGTACAAGCAAAGATTCAGTGAATGACTTCTAGAGCTGCTGCAGTTGATGATGTTCAAAGGCATATGATCATGAATGTCAACAGAGGATTTGCACTCTCTTTGCTTTTCCTTGCTAATAAATTGTTTAATTAAGAGTCTTTATGTTGATCATTGGTCTCCTCTTAATCTGTGTTGGAACTTGTCCCTATTCTTAAATTCGAGTTAGCTTTAGTATAGACATTTCATTCTATAACATCCCAATCCTGAATAGAAGCACAGCTTCTTTTCAGAATCAATACCAGTGCCTCATCGCTGGTATCGTGTGGGTTCAGCACAGTAGACTTCTCTAAGCTGGGAGAACTCTGTTTGAATGTCATGTCTCTGTATATGGCTTGAATAAGTTACTTGTATTGTATTCTGACATGCTGCATACCTGAGGTTTATAAGTGACCTATACTTTTATTATCACAGCCATTCTAGTTGGGCATTTTGCCAGGTGCCTGTTTTTAGGTAGATTCTACCTCAATGCTGTGTAATTTCACTTTGGCTGGGGATTTTTTTTTCTTTAGCTAACTGGCTGTTCTACATTTAATGGCAATGTTATAACTTTTCAGTTAAGTCAAGCCCATAAGGATTTTTGGTCACACAATACTGAAAATGCTGGTAGTGGTAGAGTTTGAGTCTGCATAAAGCTGGTATTCGTCTGATCAAAGCTGTGGTGTGAGCTATGTATCGTTTTGATTCAAGCGGAGAAGAGGTAAACATTATTGTATGCAGATCGTCTGGATCACTATGAGTCTAATTTAAACTTATGTGTGGATAACATTTCCTGACATCTTGATACTTTGAAATGCTCTATATTGAAATACGAGTAAAATATGAGGTATGGATGGCAATTGAAAGTTTTTCTATCAAGTAAATCAAGTTACGTTACACCTCTTGAGCCTTATCTTGTTTATTTCTCGGATTTGTTGTATGATTCTGATTCAAACAGTACCTTTATGACAATAATATTTGAGATCTGTGTTGTTAAACAGATATGAATTTTTGACCTTGTGAAATCCATTGTCTTTACAACCTGTGCATTTGGTATGTGGTCACAGCTTTTACTTATTTCATTGCGTTTCAACTTTGTTATGTACACCTAGGAAACTAGCTTTACTTGTATTCAAATGTTGAGTGTTTGATTGTTGCTGATATATACTTCCTTTACCTGTGTAGATGTACTCAAATTGCTTGTGCGGGGTACCAAAAAAAGATTTTTGTGATTTACTATACGTTATAGAACTATTGTTTGGTATTTTTATGTATAATGTGTGTATTATATAACTGCCTGTTTATACTGTTGTGATACTGTTTTTAATAAAGAGAGAGAGAGAGAGAGAGAGAGAGAGAGAGAGAGAGAGAGAGAGAGAGAAAGAGAGAGAGAGAGAGAAAGAGAGAGAGAGAGTTTGTGTGTGTGTGTGTGTGCATGCATGCATGTATTCGTGTGTGTATATGTGTGTGTGTGTGTGTGTGTGTGTGTGTGTGTATGTGTGTGTGTGTGTGTGTGTGTGTGTGTGGTGTGCACATGCGTGCGTGCATGTGTGTGTGCGTGTGTGTTTCAGCAAGTGCATTTTGGAAGGTTTGGGTGTGGTGAGAGAAGTATGAAAGAGAAAAGAGGTGGATAATAGAAAAGATCAGGTGTGTCTGTTGGAAAACTGGAACTCGACTTTCATATCTTTCCTTGTGATATGAATATCTTTTGTGGGTCAAATCTGCTATCGTTTATTTTGATTGGTTACACTGATTGAAATATGTAATTCATTATTATGAATTTTCTTCTTTGTTTTATATTTTCACTCCACCATGTTTTGTCTATATATAACCTGACACTATTAGACAGAAATGAGAAGACCCAAATGTTTGTTTCTTGTTTACTGTTTCGGTTTATCCAAAGTGTTTCTTTTTTTTTTCATTCTCTTTTGAATTAGTTTTCCACTCTTTTTCAGTTCCATGTAGGTATATCAGACTGAACATGTATAATGAACCAAAGCACCCTTCAACCACCCTTGTTGCATTCTCACTTATGGTTGCAGCCTTGACAACTTATTAGAAACTGAATAGAATGATGGTTCATGAGTTAGTTTCAAATTTGGTAGTGCTCAGAAGCTTTCGGTTTTACATTTTATCATAATTTTTGGAACAGTTTTTCTCTTGGCCTGGTTCTCTAAAGGAGACCTTTCAGACCAAAAAAAATACAGTGTCTGTGTTTTAGTGGTTAGAAGCTTTGCTGTCGCATGCAGAAGACCTGATTATGATTACCCTGTGGGGAGAATAGTTATAGAATAGAGTGTCTCTGTGTCTTTGCTGGACGAAGAATTCCTCTCAGCCCAGGCTGCCCTGACAAGCGGGGTTGAAGTCTGTGCCTTAAATGATCTTAATTGTGTTGATTGGGGCGTCAAACACTTACATAAATTTGAAAAAAAAAGCAACAACGCCCCCCCCCCCCTCCCCCGTTGTTTTCTGCTTCTGTAAGACATAGATGCAACCCATCTGTGATCTCGCAGGTGACCCCAGATCTGCACACTAAGTCAAGTACATTAACATTCTAAACAAGAGGGGGGGGGGCAACTTTACTTCTACTGACATTGATCTATTGGAGCGTTAAACTTTAACAAGGGGGCTCTTGTGGTCTAGAGGTTAAGGTGTTGGTCTCTCATTCAAAGGTCCAAGGTTCGAATACGGGTAACAACCGAACAATTTTTTTCTCTAAAATTGTCTTCTTTCACCTCCTTTCCTGGTCTCTAGCAATGCTCTATCGTCTGATTTCGTATCATCTTTCTGTCCCCACCCTCTCTCCTTTGCCCCCTCAGCTCCTGACTCTTTCTGCAGCATTTCTACCGCTACTCCTTGGCTCATTCTTACTGCTGTTTCAGCCACACCCCTGATCTTCTGGTGGGAAAGATCTACACCTAGCCTTCCAAGTTTAATGTGTCATATGACCTTATGCAGTTGCAAGCGCGGTAAAAAAAACTTACCAAAAAAAGAAAAAAAGAAAAGAAACTTTAACGAAACAAGAAAGAAAAAAGCGACGTTGTGAATGAGGATGTCATATTTATTCCTTCGGGAAGAGCGTTTATATTGATTATTATCTGACATGAAGCAAAAACAAGAGAGAGTATTACACGAGGATATTATGTGGAAAAAAAGACACAGCTACTTGTACTCATGGAAGAAAGCACTAGTACTAAATTCATGCAGGCGTCATTTCATTATGTACAATTATCGTTTCTATTTGGTGGGG